ATGAAAAGAACAGATGGAAAGACGTGTACCTGTAGTGGGAGAACACAACCTCGGCATATCATAGATCTGATCATTGAATGTAGAAAACTAGTTTTTTTCTAGGACCAAAAAGATGCCCAAGGTGAAAATCATTACACTCTGGATGTCTGTGTGTGCATCAACTAAGTAATATGATGTCACCTGTCAGTAAGCGGAGTAATGACGAGCCGTCCCGAGTTGCCCAGGTACTCATATCCATAGTTGAACTCTGTGTTGGTCTGTCGGATTATACAATTCATTGCATTCCCCTGGAGTCAAAACAAAACAAAACAAAACTGAAACTAAAAGAGTTTAAATATTTTTTACTAAATTACTAAGCTTACATTAATCTAATGAAAGTGATTAGCTAGTACTTTCATTTGTCTATTCGATATGAGAAGCTGTATATACCAACATAGCACAGCAGGCTAGCTCAGACTAAGTACTGTTTTTCAACTTTTAACAAACAAGATGCTAATTTAATCCCATCTTTACTAAATGTTACTTATACCACCTGCATAAATGTTCCTTTAACCACCACAATCCACTGATAAAAGCAATTTATCAACTCACCTGTTCTATCAGTGTCTTGCGGTCAGCTTACCTGGTCTTTTTCCCAGTAAAGCCGCAGCTGAGAGACCCACTCAAAGGCACTGACATCGTAGCAACCTGCCTTGGCCAGCTTATCAATAACATCCCGAGCATGAACCTCTACTGTCACCAGAGCTACGATCTTCAAACGCAGGACTTTGGGCAAGTTACCACGAATGATCTCTGAATAGCACTGAAGCATGGAGACCTGAGAAAGACAGTTGTACCAAAAATTTGACACATTTATTTGATGCGTGGTCATTTTTTATTGCAACATGACAGCTATGCACTATAACCGCACATGTTTAAATACCCACATGTTTTTGTGGATATAAAATAGTGTGACACCAACAAAAAAGAATATGGTATTTACACACTTTCAGAAGTTTAGTGAAGTGGCAAAAAGTCAGTCAAACCTGTTTCTTCTTCATGGACTTCAGGGGGGCTTTGTCAGCTCTCTCTTTGCAGTTAATGAGAGCTCTTGTGACATCAGCAGTCCACTGGATCTGACTAGCTGTGATTATCATCTAAAACAGGGAGAAATAATCCTTGTTTTAATCTTACTTTAATATTAAAATTGGTTGCAAATGTAATGACTTAACTTCATAAACTAAAAGGCCATTGCTATAAATTTGATACAAATATAATATAAGAAGAGTAAAGTAGCTTATTACTTAACCAAATACACAAGATGAGTAAATCTCTTTTAAACTGGAAAGAAACAAGTTTTATTTAAGCCACTGGGATTTCTACATTATCAACAGGATGTGCAGGAGCAGTAACGGCATCAGTGCCAGTGAATGAGAAAATCAGACAAGAGAAGAAGAAAAGGCAGGGCAGGAAAGCCAAAACCAGACATACCTGTCCTGGCCAAGCTCGGACCCATTTGTCTCTTGGTCCTGATATCCTCTTCAAGTCTACAAGGCAGTCCTTCAGGGACTCCTTTAGTGAAAGGCGCATGCTATGCTCCAGCTCGCACAGCCACTCCTGCATGCACACATGCAAATAAACTGGTGCTCACATTCAGTATCATGATCTTCTCCACTGCATTTATCACCACAACACCCCTGTCATATTATAATTCGGATCATTGTTAGTACTGTACCTCCACAGGTTTGTTCAGTTCCACTTTTTCATATAAAGAAACAAACTCCCCATCAGCAGAGAACATCCCAGCAGCTAGTGTTTTAAGCTTTGTCTAGAAAACACACATTTTGAAGGAAATCCAGTTATTTAGGACAAAGCGGAGTTTCCAGTACACATAATGTGGTTTTATATTATTTAAAGCACAATCAACACAAAGAGAAAGCTTAGAAAATCTCACCAGTTTCCTTAAGAACACTGACAAGTAAAATCTGCACAAGGGCTTTTAATTATCTCTCTTTAATTATCTCTGGTCAATCCAAGAAATGTAAATACGTATGAAATTGCATCAAAAAGCAGATATGAAGAAACACAAGCCATGAAAATTTGTAACGATTACTGCTCCTTACATATTTACATGGCTGCGCTCAATTAACTCCGTTGTAAACAGTAAATGTGTAGCACTGATCACAGAGTATGATTGTCCCTGCCTTTTCAGTAGACAGGCTCTTAATGTTGTCAAAACACTTCTTCAGGTGAGGCTGCATGGCTTGTGGATTCTGTGATTGTCCCAAGATCTCCAGAACGTCATCATTGGACAGGAAATAGAACCTCGGGAAGATCTGCCTTTTGGTCTCCAGGTATGTGTCCAAGGCTTTAAGGATTTCCTCCAGCTCAAAACCCATCTGTGACAGCTTCTCTGGCAAACCTGCAAGGCACAGACGTTGATCATAGACTTAAAACACATTTTTATTTTACAAATTAGATGACTTGGAATTCTTTTTGCTCAATCCAAATCCTTGTTTAGCTAACCTCTTCTATACTGATATTTTAGATGTTACATATTATGTTAAATATTTAAAAGTTAAGGACTTTTTAAAAAAGTTTCAAACTTACATTTGGGCTCTGAACTCATGAAATATTCTTATAGAGTTGTTAAGGGATTTTTAGGGCCTGAAGACACTGTGTGCTACAGTTTTAATAAGAGCACATTCTTTAAAGTAACATGTCATACCAGGCTTGTGTGTTCCCTGCAAGGCATTTTTATCCTTGTGGAGACAACCCGTAATGGTTTTCCAACTAGAACTTATGTCTTCAAATTCTTTGCACTCATGAGGCAACTGCTCCCGGATGTCCTTTCCTTGGAAAATGTTCTGGGGGAATAAAAGAGCATTTAAATATATAGTTACAGACACTAAGGAATAGACAAAGCTCAATTCTATCCTGAAAAAGAAAAGAAAATGAAATGCTCAAAGGGAGCAGCAAGAAAACTGAAATGAGAAAACAAAACAAGACAGCGATGGATAAAGACTGAAAAGGAATGACAACATGCAACTAAATTGTTATCAATACAAGAAACTTCCATCCGTTGCATGCGCAAAATAATTCATAAAAATAATACATGTATAAATCAAATAACTAGTATTCAAACACAATAAAATAACCAAATATATTTTAGAAGTACTCTGCCTGGGTTGCTTGTACCTCCAAATAAATCCAGTGCCGTTGCACATTAAGGATCATCTCAGTGACTTCCAGCACATGGGAGAGCTGACGCTCCCAGCGGTCCACCTCCTGTTCAAAGGCTTTGACAAACCGAGATGCCTTCATTGTGGACAAAATAACTTGGTTGTCCTCCAGTGCCTGGAAAACCTCTTCTGTGCTCCTGGGAGACAAAAGGAGGGTAAACATGACCACTGACGACTGCTTAAAATTGGATTGTAAGACTAATATTACTTCACTCTGTTAGTTTACACGCAGCAACAATGTTTCAGTGAAACTGTTGCACAGCTGTGGTGCCCTGTTCTGCATTAACCGTGCACAGAGTCTGCTGAATTAGTGTCACTGTGTATCTTCCCCTCTGCCTGCTTTCATCATGTTCAGTGTGGCTCAGCGGCACTGTAAAATCAGCAGCAATGGCTCAGGCCTGCTGATTAAACTGGATCTGAGGTCTGACTCAGTTTGTATGCAGCGGATGGCTTAAACATTCCCGCTGACACATCTGCTCATTCTAACTTCATAAACAATCATATTACTCTCAGATCCATTGGATATACGCTCTATAGTATATAGAGACGTAACACAGGCGTGTAGAGTATGAAAACCTAACCTCATGACAGTGCTGAGCTGTACTGAACTGACGGTGATGCAAATACATAAAGGTATGATGAATACTGAGGTTTGATGGAAAACGTCTTTTTCTTTTCTTCTCTAAACCGTGCCTTCAAGGCTCACTTTCTCACCTCAGTCGATAGTGGCCTTCGTCTTTGTAAGGTGCTATGTCCAGGGTCATTTCCTTCCACGTCTTGGTGATACCCTTCAGACCCTTCAATGTCACACATAAAAAGCACTGTTAAGAGAAAAACTACACTGACCTAGCAAAATAATGAGGAAATATTTCCAGTCTTTTCATATTGACCCAACTTGATTGATGAGACAGTCATATGACCCGATTAATAACAGAGCACAATTCACCTTAGCTTTGAGTTTTAGTGTATGAATTCACTGGGGATGGAGAACTTTTACATTTGCATAATGACAAAATTTCTTTTCCAATCGCTCTTTTGTGACCTCTTACAAGAGATTCTTTTTCCTATCACTGGGTCTGAGGTGGCGGGAATAAGAATTAGCACCTCCGAGTGTGAGCTGGTTTCAGCTGGGATACAGTGGAGTGCCCAGGCCAGGTCAGGGACAAGGTGCTGCCCTGAGTGGATGAGTATCTCAAGGTATTATGAATAAGTGATTGGAGAGTGGAGAGGGGAAAGTGATAGATTGGTGCTGTTGTTGCTGTAATGCGGATGCTGTAGCAGTCTGTTGTAGTGAAGAGTGTGAAAGAGTGTGTTCGATCTATGTTCCTGCCCTCACCCATAGCCACGAGCTCTGGGTAGGGATTAAAGAACGAGGTTGGAAATACAAGCAGCAGAAATGAGCTTCCTCCAGAGGGTGGCTGAGATCTCCCTTGTCAATAAAGTGAGTAGTTCTTCTAGTTGGGAAGGACTCAGATTATAGCTGCGACTCTGTTACTGCTACTATAACCGACTGAGGTGGTTTGGGCATCGCATTCGCTAGAGCGATTAAATCTCTAGGCCGACTTCGGAAGGCCTGGAGATATAATCTCCCACCCGAATGAGCCGAAGGAGGAGGCTGACGAGAGGGAGGTCTTGGCTTAGAGTGCTGGCTCCATAACCTAGAAAATGGACGGCTGGATGAATTGTGTGAGCCACACATAGATCTCTTTTGGCAGATACTTTTTGGACTTAAGTTTTTCTTCATTTTACTCTGAATTTTCTGGTGTTGTATGTCTATTAAGGGAAAAGATTTTATCAGTAATACAAAAAGTACATTTCCTTCTTAAAACCCCTGGAAGGAAACACTTTCTGAAACCTAATGGAGAATTTAAATTTCAGATTCTGATAGGGTAATACTGACTAAACCACATCAAACAATTGCTCCCTTCAGGCTCGCTTTCACTCACAGTGCTACAAAAGTTCCCACTGAGCACCTGTCTATATTTATAAAAAAAACACCTGTTCTATGGAGAGTTCCTTGGTGGCGGCTCCAGAGATCTCGCAGATTTTGCCAGCATACATGTTGAAGCCGAGAGATATGATCTTTTCCAGGGTGAATTCAACACTGGTTGGGTCAAAAGAATACTGCAGCTCCTCAGAGATCTGCTTCCAGTGCCTGAAAGACGCATTTTAAGTTAAGTTATTCTTGTCCCACTTTGCTCAGATGAAGAAATATGCAAGGCTAATTGCAAGAACACACAGGTCTTTATTTCAAAAGCACTCGTGAATTTTTTGTGTGTAAACAGTGTGGTAATAGTGATGCAGTAATGTAACTCATGTCTGTTACATTAACAAAGCTAGGAAAATCTTCTGTTTGTAAGAAGAGAAAGAAAGAAAGTGTAAAAGAGGGGGAGTGTCAGCTAACACTTTGTGGCAGTTCTTGATTTGAGACACTAGCAACTTAGCTACAAGCAATAAACTGCTCACAGTCTTAATTCTCTAATCTTTTAATGATGCTCATTTGTAGTTGTAAACCAACTCCATTAGGCACACAGATGCTTCATGCATTTTAACACATCCAACATATACTGAAATGACAACAGAGAGCCTGTTTTCAGTCAGTACCTGTCTCTTATGGCTGGGTTCCTCAGATCAGCAATGAGCGGGATGACCTGCCTAAACTGGTCAATCCTGTTCTTGGAGAAATCTACAATATCCCACTGTTTATCCTGCAATCAGACAGAGATCACATCCTCACAGCTGTGTGATGAAAATGTCAAGTACTGTTAAGTACTGCATTTTGTGATTTGGCAACAAATTTTGTAAATTTAGCAGTCACTAGACTGTCTTCAATGAAGTAGTGACCTTCAGATCTCTCTGGAGTTTATGGAGTTTTTTAAACATGTCCTGTGCGGCAGTCTCCATGCTCTCTGTCTGCAGTGTACCAAACTGGCCAGCCTTCCAGATATTCCAGTTGCCGTTCCATTCCTCTGTGATATCCCAGACCTGCTGCAGTTGGTCCAAGTCCTACAAACCACATAGCACAATTTATTGTCGTCAAATGTTACTGTGTTGCACCAATGCTATGTTAACATTCTGAGCCTAGTGCTGGTCCACACCTTCTCCAGAGTCCGTATGCTTTTGGAGGGGGCTTGTTCTATTTTGAAGAATCTCAGCCCATCGAGGATGGTGCTTTCTTCCTGTTTCAGAGTCTCCAGTTGGCTACGATGCTCTGCTATTTGTTTTAAGGCCAAGTCAGTGCTCAGTGCACTGTTAAATGGACCTGGATATGCAAAAACGTAGTGAGGTATGCACTCATGAAGGCACATAAACATTAATCATCTGTTTAGCACTGGAAAAAAAATGAAGAAACAAACATTGTCTAAACACACTAAGACTGACCTAAGCTTTGAAAAAATAAGAGCAAAGATTAAGTCATACTGTTTCTACCAAGTTGTCCTCAGTAGTATGTCTTATGTAATATTTCTGTTTATATTATCTAACTGTGGAAACATTTCTTTTATCACTTTATAGATTTTTTTACAGCGCTTACAAAGGATTTAATATTGGTCTATTAGTCTATTCACCAACCACTGAACATACAAAGACTTTGATTGGAAGTAATGAAAATAGGACGTGAAACAAAAGTAAAACCTTCTAAATAGGAAAAAAAGATAATATTGGACATAAAAGCAGCAGGAAAAGGCAGAAGAGGTGGAAAAGGTGAGGGGCATTATAAATATGAAGTATTATGAGTAACAAAGCAGAGATACAGGGTCAAGAAAAGATTAGAAACTGGGTATTGTTCCAAAAGAGGCTTAATTTAGATCGTTAATGAGAAAAAAAGAAACAGAACAAGTGAAAGGTGCGCAATCACAAAATCATGACAAACTTGAAAACAAAGTATCTGAATATGTGAAAGAGCAAATGAGGGAGAGAGATAGAGAGAGGGACTGTGACCTTTGGCACTGAACTCCTCCACAGTGGCCTCAACCGTCTTCTTCAACTCCTCGTACGAGAGGAGGAGGCTGCTCTTAAACTTTTCCTTTTGTTTCTGCAGCATGATGTCACTGTCGATCAACACCTGCTGGAACCACACCCACTCCTCATTCAGCACATCACGCATTTCCTGCACCTGCAGAGAAACCGAACACAGTCAGCAGAACTGAATCATGATTAGAGGGAATGCATTTCTTCATGACATGTTCCAACAGTGTGTATATGTGTGCAGACACTCAGACACTCAAGGTATACAAAATAAATTTGGCCGTGATTAGAAAAGATATGTTTTGATTGGTAAACTATATTTTGATACTATCTGAGGCCAATGAATGATAAACTTCACCCTCTGTGTAACTGCACAGTTACTGTCAATATCAAAACAATATGAAAGACATTTAATTTGGCATGTCGCTCATAAGCAACACCAGCAGTACTCTTGCACTCACTGAGAGAGATAACTGGATAGACTTTACAGAGATACAAAGACAATGTGAAAATCCAATGTGATTGTATATAATACATACACAAAAACGTGTGCTTTTTCAGTTTGTTTAGGGATGAACAAGGCACCTACATCTTGTTCCACTGGGACTTCATATTTGCCGAGGATAGCAAACTGTTCATGGATGACAGGAATCTGAGCTTCGGTCTTGGCCAAATTGCTCTGGAGAGTCTCCAAGAGCTTTTGGCTCTCACTGAGCTCCGTCAGTGTCTGGGGAGATTTTTTCAGCCTAAGCACACATAGTACATACAAACAAATACAACACAAAGTCAGATTTGCTTTTTATTATATTCATTCATTAACATTCATTTCGGCAATGTTAACTGGATCGTTCCTTCATCTTCATGTTCTGTACCCTAAAACATGCCCTAATATGCACGATATAGTCACACTTGCAGGATTTGTAAAAAGTCAACAGTCAATTAAGTGCCCACTAAGACTGCAAGTGTTCAGAGGACAGAAGAGACTGATGAAATGTCATGTCACTCCTGAAAACCCAAATACAACAGACTATAATCCCACTAAAAGTCTCGTTAGGCTACAGTTTGGTAGCCTATTAAGAATAAATTAATGACATATGTGATGTTTTGCATAACTGTAACCCCACTAGCAAGAAAGTTGTGAAAGTTGTGCTATCATAAACCCACACTGTATACTCATTAATACATTAAAAACAGATAAAACATATAAAATGTTTAAACTGAGATGGGATAAGGCAACAAAAGGAACATCTTGCAACTAATTAGATTCATTGGCAGCAGCTCACTGACATTACTGGGTGTAAAATGAGCATCTTAGACAGACAGTTTCTCAGAAATGAACATGGGCAAAAGAAAAATGCATCTAGTGGTTATTTCAGCAAAGCAATGTTAAGCAGTATACTGCATCTAATACAACTGCATGTCTTCACAGTAGAAGAGTCTGGGTTCAGAAGTGGCCTGTCTGCAGTCCAGACCTTTCACCAATTGAAAACATTTGATGCATCATCAAACGAAAAACATAAAGAAGACCGACTGTTGAACAGCTACAATACTATTGGACAGCATTCGTCTACTTAGTCCAGCAGCTGGTCTACTGAGTTTATAGCTGTAAATGGATTGTTATTCACAGAAGATGGGCTACAACACAGTCTGTGTCCCAGATGTGTTACTGCCATTAAATTATAAACAAGCGAATATTTTTTCAGTTTAAACATTAACTTGTTTTCTGTGTTTTAATGTGAATAAAATCATTGTATTTTGCTCTATTTATATTTTACCCAGCATCCAAACATCTAAAATAACTGCTTGTTATGTGATTGTAATTGCATGTTACGTCCCAACCTCTGTGCTTCGATAAATTATTTTCAATTCTTTCACAAGGTCTCTGCTTAATTAAATACACTTAGCGCTGCCGACTGCTCCGAAGCTAAGTTTGGAAAAGATTGTATCAAATGCCGGTTAAGTGTAGCATACAATTACATTTTTCTGCTAAAAGTGCACAAGATTGCAAGTGTGTGTGGGCAAAGCAGCCTGCACTGCGTGGGCTGACCTGTAGATGTTGCTGTTATGGGCTTCAGGCAAACAAGCGCTGACATTCAATTCGTAATTCATGATCAAAGCATGTACTGGATAGCGCACAGCTCACACAAACTCCTCTTTGATAACACTTATATAACTGATGTCTTTTTCTCAGTAGAATGATAGTTTTGGTAAACTTTTATAAGACTTCTTCACTTCAAACAACATTAAATATTGACCTTAAAACATACGGAATTTCTAGGAAATGAGTCCTCAAACATTAACTCGTGATTAATTATATTCACAAGAAAGCATCTACTAGGTCCCAGAGTCAGCGACATAAACCCCTGTACGATAAGGTTATTTCACTGATTTCCCACCTGCTGGCACTGTCTTCCAGGGAGGCATGAAGTTCTTTTAGGCGCATGCTGGCCATGTCACTGAGAAGCTGAGTGAACTTGGTTTGCCACTCATTACAGTGCTGCACCAAGGAAGACTTGAGCGGTGAACAGTCCAGCATGACAAACTGGATGTTAAGCACCGTCTCTTCTTGTTGAACACTGCTGGCCTTCTCTGAGTACCTGGAAGTCAAGACGTGATAAAATATTGCAGAAAAAAAACTTTGTGGACGACTCAAGAGAACGCCGTTAAATATTTAGATTATACTTCACAGTACCTTTGTATATCTGCATCAAAAGAAGACAGTGGTAGGTTAAGTCTCTGGTAGCGTTGTATAATGGAATCCTTATTCATCTCCCAGATGTCCCTGTATTTGTCCCAGTTTTTTAAATGAGATTGCAATTGGCTGGCATTGGCTGTCATCCCTGAGGCAATTGCAGCCTGAATCTTTTTTATCCCCTCATCTTGCCCTGGTGGATCAAACAGCATCAGAGTTAAAGGATAGAATTACAGACATGGTGACATATATGTTTATACTGTATTTTTATGTTTTAAAAAAATGTTCTGACCTATAATGATGTGTATGGGATCCTTCTGGGACTCTTGGTTGGAGAGAAGTTCTTGGAGTCGTTTAAATTCTGAGATGAGACTGATGAGCTGAGGCATAACATTCACAACCTGAGCAAGCTTTCTGAGAGTTGGGGAAAACGCTACCTGTTAAAAGAGACCCACATACTCATGTTTTAAACTGTTAACATATATGGACATGTCCCTTCACAATGTCAACAAATCAATATCAATGACTGAACCGGATTAAAACAGGTATCTAGTACCTTTGGAGCCATTAGTGGAGCTGCACTGTGGAGGGTAACGAGGACTTTAAACAGGGGGCTGGGTGTAGTCTTGCTGTCACCGTTGATCGCTCTGGATAGCTTCTTCAAGGAGTTTTTGATGTTACTGTTGAAAGCTTCTTCTATCATATGATCCACCCTCTCTATGTAGTTCACCCAGTGCTCCTGGACCTTAAAAACCATTTCACAATTTTAACATACAAAATACTGCAATAGAAACTAATATTATTATTATTATTATGGCAGATGAACAGAGGACATACCTCAGGTCCATCATCTGCCAAGATGTCATAGATCCGGGTCATGATATTGACAATATCCTGGTGTGCTGAGCGAAGTATTTGGAGAATGTTCTGCAGGTGAGCCTTCTGGTCATCCTCAAACTCCAGATTCCTAAATGAAAATAATTGAATTAAATAAATAATACTTTACATTGAATTTATTTTATGCATTTATTAGACAGACTTGTAATGTAATGAAAATGAGTTGTTAAATCAGTTCTTACCTGTACACAGTTTTTCCATCCAGTTTAATCAGAAGTGCTTCACTAATCTGATGACAGTGTTTGAAGATGGACTGACTGGACACTTTGTAATTATTTATTATCACATGGAGCTGAAAATAAGAGGAGTGTAGAGGGAAGAAGACAAGTGAAGCTGCTGAGTAAGACTCATCCACAGAGGTTTATTACAGGTTCAAAAAAATACGCTACAGATAAGGAAAATGTGATTGTTGCTAGTTTAGTTACTGTTGTCACTCAAAAGAAAAATATCTGTAAGTGGTGAACTGCAATCTTACAACCTTGTCAACATGCAGGAGACAATCACGGATGAAGATGTTAGAAGCTCCTTTAGACAACCACAGGAGTTTGGTCAGACCCGGCTGGATCTTCTTATCAATGAAACGTATTCTCTCCCGAAAAAGACCCAACTCCTCAGGAGAGAGCATTTCTGTGATCCTGGGACCCACAGATAACTATGTTTTTCTACTGACTGAATAATATCTGAACAGGAAAGATTATCAAATACAGCATTTACATCTTTCTCTGTGCTTGTAGGTGTGTAAATGTGCGAAATTATGAATCCATTTTAAAGTCTTACAAGTGTTGATCAGTATTGGTGTCACGCGTTTCATTTTGTATAAAAGTGTAAGCACACGGGACCTTTAATTTAAGTGATTTTCATTAGCTCACTGATTAATAATCTTCTTATAGTGCTCACAATTACAAGGATGTTAATTCACAAGACGTGTTCACAACACGAAAACTGGTCAAGCTCTCCAGATGAATGGTGATGCTGTGTAATGCTGCAAGCGAGTGTTCCAAGTCAGACCTGTTATACTCGCGGACCAGCAGCAGTACTTGCTGCCTCAGGCCTCTGAGGTCATCTCTGTCCTGGTAAATGTCAGATACACTCTGGGGGATCTCAAACTTTAATCGATCCCAGCACTGGATCTCAGAGAACAGATTCAACAGGTCGCTAGACAAAAAAGATACAAAATAACAATACAGAGTAAGTACATTAAAATGTAAAGTTGTACGTAAATCTCTGGAGACCCCTGGGAAATTATACACTTTAATGACTGATTTAAGCTAAAACATTAAATACACTGCCTCCAGTAAACAGCTATCTTGTTGGAAACATTTCAAGTATAACTTCTGCAGTACAAGGCTGAGCAAAAGCATCCCTGAAATTCCACCAGGGCCTACTTTTAGCTGGCTACCAAAGCTGTTGTAAATACTTGTTTAGAGCGGTGCCCAATAGGCTGCACATGATATAATATTCATAACTCATACAGTTTAACTTCACAGTCATGAATCTGTTTGCACACATTTATATAAAAACGGCACATGTACACATTTGTGTGTTTGTATTCATGCCCAAATGTTTGGTCTTTGCATGAATCTATTGTGTAAGAGCACATTTGTGTATTCACCTAACAGTAAAGTGTATTTACCATCAGTTATAGTGCATCTAGGTTTATTACACAGAGTTTAGTATGTAAGCTTTGTACCTCTGGTGTTTAAGTCATGTGTGCTCGTGTTGTTTGACCCACTTGTCAAAGTTGATGTCCAGCTTCTTGTCCTTGCAGCGCACCATGAGTGGCTGCTCCAGGCGTTTGAGATACTGCACATCCAACTTCTGAGTCCATTCACTGAAGTTCTTCCTCACAATCTCATCCAGAATTTGCATAGTTTGACCACAGGTGGTAAGTAACTCCTTGCAGGTCTGAGAATCCAGTATTAAGTGGGCCTTCTGAAGCACCTGGAGGCAAAGGAGAGCAAACAGAGTAGAGGAGATGGAAGTAAGGTTGGTTAGTGATTGCAGAAAGCAATAATTGTGTACTAAAAATCAAAGGTCTTTCTTGTTGTCTAAACGCCTCACCTCCATGAATCTCTCTAACTGATGTCTTTGGGCCGTCACCCAGTAGACCTGGCCTGCTTTCCGGGGCATATGATCAGGGTAAAACATTGAGGTCTGGTTCAGCTCTTTGTTTCCGATTTTAAGCTCTTTGTAAAAGATATTGCAGGTTTCCTCCAGCTTCTCTTCTACAGTGCGCTTAATAGACTGTGATGGAAGAATTCAAAGATACATGTTATGATGGTAACAGAAAAAAATAGGGCAAAGAGAAAAGTTTAGCTGTAATGAAAACAGAAAAATAGCATTTAATCGATCATTGCACTGAATGAAATCTGTAATTGGAACAAATCTGAAGGTCTCTAGTACAACAAAAGCAAACTATTCACCCATGTGTGCAACTGCTTTTACTCTAACAAACACACAAACTTGAGCACAGCAATTTATTCACCCCGTTATCATGGCAAAGTGTGTAATACACTATTCCATCGTGTCTTTGGACACATGTGCAGAAGTTGCAGTCACAGCAGGGTTTTGCCATGATACTGGGTTGATTTATTAGAATTAGCAACGCAGGGCCAGATATTAACCTGTAACATTTAATTAAAAACAAATGAAAATGTGTTACATTGTTAAATACAAATTTAGCCAATGGTAAAACTTGTGTAACTGTTTCTGTGAATGTCTTTGTGAAAGCGTACCTTGCGAGCGAACAAAGGCGTAAAGACGTCAAGGAGCCGAATTCCTTCCTCAACTGTGTTCCCTGTCGTAAACACTGAACCAATCAGGCCCTGAATCTTCATCTCCAGATCTTTTACAAACGCACAAAACCTGTACACATGCATACACACACCAAAACATGTCTACAAGCCAAAATACTTAATGAATTTAGCAAAAGCATGCTAACAGAAGTGTAGACACGCATACTAACACTGATATCCGCAGAGACGCATTAATGTAGAGGAGAAGTTAAAATCGTGTAGGGATGTATTAACATAATGAGCATCCAGAGGTAAGATCAGAAAAATAGCTTTTATATTTGTTCACCTTCTGCCAAACCACTCATTTGGGTTGCATAGGTTCTGGTGCTCCCTTTATTTAACTGCCCGTGGCTCCCCACAAACAACAATTATATTTTAGAAACATGCAAAAACCCTTTCAAACTATTATATTCCATATTCATTTGATTATTTTAAAACAAACAAAGCTTAACCTGTTGAATTCATTGCACCATGTGGTATCCTTGACATCAAGTATGCCCTTGTCAACAGAGCGTAGTTTTTCCAGGCTGCGATGGAAGTCTCTTTCATTCTTCAGGAGGGTGCCAGTAAACCCTGGTCCCTTGCAACCACCTAAGCATGGCAGAGCCCTCTGCTGACCATCCTCCCAGCGGGCAAACTGATGCTGGCAGTCACATATCTGTGAGCAGACAAGAGAAGCTAATAATCTCATATCAAACAACATATATATCTATCCCACACAAGGGATTTTCTGAAATTATATTGGAGGTGATCACCTGCTGACTCATAAGACTATCTATAAAGTTGTCAACAATAAAGGCCACCTTACTCACACAAATGAGCAAACTGTCACTGTCCTTTGTATACTGTTTAAGAAATGGTATTTAAATAGAAACAAAATTTCTTTTCAGTTTTTGTTCTGGGTGTTTTGTCATTAGTCTCCATTTTACAGGAGCCCAAGCTGCTTTTATACAAGAGTTCTGTCTACAGAAGAGCTACTGAAAGAGTAGGACAGCACAAGGTGGGTGCCATTTTTTCCTTTCTTTTTTTGAAACATGTCTTTTTAGTATTGTTCCTTTGCTCATGATGGTTAACCTGATAATTGTGATTCAGTATGCAGTGTTACTTGTTCTGTGCTACCGAGAGAAAATATTTACCTCAATTAGATCTCTGAGCCTCTGAACATACGACTCAATCACCACGATAAACGTTGTTTTGTCCAGGACCCAGCCTTTTCGGGAATACCTGATGTGAATGAAAAAGGATAAAGATAAAGGAAAAGGCTAGAACAACGGAGCAAAGAGAGCAAAGAGAGCAAAGAGAGCAAAGAGCAACAGAAGAAAAGGCAGAAAATGGGCTTGGATGACTGGAGCTTGGTGGGCAACACTAAATGAAATGGTTTTTCATTTTATAATATATCTTTAGAGGTTATAAATAGGACGAGTGAAGTTTATCAATTGTGAAATCTTTAAAAAGAAAAAGGACATTGTATATATCAGTGGTCCCCAACATTTTTTGCACCACGGACCGGCCTTTAAGGTGTCGTGGATAAATACAACAACATAAAACCAGTACTGGTACCAAAAAAAAGAAGATTTATTCATAACACACAGGAAAATAACCAGGGAATCTGAGTAAATGATAAAAACATTAAAAAAATAGTGCTAAAAAACGATAACAACCCTGAAAACCATAAACTTCACACCTGAGCCTCAACTCTTGCGGCTCGGTACCAAACGACTCACGGACTCATGGAAAAAGTCTGGAAACTGTGTAAAATGTAAATAAAACAGTATTCAAGGACTTGTACATCTCAAAAATCTACATTTTAATCACAATAGAACAGAATAACAGATGTTTAAACTGAGAATGTGTTTCATTTAAAGAACAACATTCATTTTGAATTTGATAGCAACACGTGTCTAAAAAGTTCGGATGGGGTCATGTTTGCCACTGTGTAGCTCCCCTCTTCTTTTAACAACAGTCTGTAGACATCTGTGAACTGAGGAGAACAGCTGCTGGACATTCATGTCCGATAGAGGATTCTAGCTGCTCTACATCTTCTTTGTTCTTCTTTGTCATATTTTTCTTTCAAGATGCGCCAAACGTTTTGGTTGGTGAAAGGTCTGAACTTCTACTGCGAAGCCACGATGTTGTAATTGATGTAGGATGTGGTTTGTCTTACTGAAATATGCGAGGCCTTCCCTGACAAAGACATCATCTGGATGGGAGCATGCATGCTGCTCTAAAACTTGTGTATTCCTTTCAGCACTGATGGTGCCTTTCCAGATGTGCAAGCTACCAATTCCATAGGCACCACGCACCATCAGGCTTTTGAACTGAGCACTGATAACCAGATGATACCTCTCTCCTCTTTAGTGCAGGGGATTCTTTCCAAAAAGAATTTTAAATTTGGATTCGTCTGACCACAGAACAGTTTTCCACTTTGCCTCAGTCCATCTTAAATGAGCTTTGGCCCAGAGAAGATGGCATTTCTGCATCATGTTCACATGTGGCTTCTTCTTTGCACGGTAGAGCTTTAATCTGCACTTGTGGATGGCACGGTTAACTGTGTTTACATACAGTCATTTCTGGAAGCATTCCTGATTCTATGTAGTGATTTTCATGACAGAAACATGCATGTTGCTGTTTTTTTGTTTGTTTGTTTTCTTTAATGCAGATCCCCAAGTGCCCAAAGACACAGGCTTAATATTGATTTTTAGCCTTGTCCTTTGTGCACAGAGTTTTTTTTCCACATCCTCTGAATCTTTTGATTATATTATGTAGTTGGCAAGATATTCCAAGTCTTTGCAGTTTGACCTGGAGAAACATTATTCTGAAACTGTTTCAGATTTGATAGTTTTTTTTGTTCTTTGTGTATTTTATGTTCAATATAGGTATTTGTTGTGCCTGAAAATGAACAAATAAATGAATGAATGAATGAATGAATGAATGAATGAACCTCTGACCACCAAACTGCCTCTCTAAGATACTCAATCACTTTACTGACTGACTGTTATCCGTTAACCTAATTAGCTACAAAATGTTCCTCCAGCTTTTTGGAATTCAGCTTTTATTTCAAGGTTGAGAACAAAATACAAGAAGATCTGAGGTGATGATCACTGTAACCAACGTGGCTGAACTTATTTAAGTAAATATGAACCTTAATATGAATTTAGGTTCAAGTTCAGACTATCTATATTCAACATATTTAGGAATTTAAAACAATCAAGAAAACTCTGTTTTGTATTTCTATGCATGTAAAATTTCTCCTACTTGTGATGAATTTTTGAGGCACGGAGGTAAACTTCCTTCCAGATCAGGCAACACTGCATGCAGTCGCTGAGGATTTGTTTGCTAGATAACACGTAGCCTTCAAAAATCCTGTCCAGACAGATCCTTTGAGAGCACAGACGGATGATCTCATTAGTCATCTGCAACACAGGGACATATATTTTAAGTATTTGGCAGCTGAGCTTTTTCTTGCTCTTATTAACTTATTATAAGGAGAACAAAGAAAGCAT